TGGTATTTATATGTTTCCTTCTTTTAATTGTTATAGCTCTTGTGTACGATTGATTAGTGCGCAATAATTAATTATTCACATAGGCTATTTTTCTAATTAGACGTAATTGAATCCGTAATTGTTCGGTTATCCCCATCTCAGTTGCAACTGGCATAATTGGGTTTATGTCAGGGAAACATACAATCTAATTTAAACAAACTCTCGTAGTGTGTTTGTTAGTTAGGATTGAGCCTTTCTAATTATTAATGCAATCTAGAAATTAAATCCTACGGTGGTACCTAGGGTTGTTTCCGGGTTAAAGAAATAGTTAACGGTTGTGCCTTAACTATCGAGAAATTAAGGAAAGGTTGGTTGTTTATCGCGTGCATGACAACTATGACTAATCTATTAATAAATGTTGGAATTATATGTGAATCAATGATCAGTGCATGAACCATTTCTGAAGTGTACCCTTGGCTAGAGTTCTCCCAATTATTTCTTTTAATTAATTATTTTCTGCATTTAATTCATTTAGTTAGCATTTAATCCTGAAAACCCCCATTTGTCTTGACTCGAAAAGAAACAAATTTCTCTCCAGTCCCTGAGAAGACGACCCTGCTTGCCACTGTCTACTAGTTAGTGAATTCAGTTAAATAATTAATTTTGGAATATCGGATTAAGCAAACTCTTCGGGAACAAGGTGAATCAAGTAACTCATTGCACACCTAGGGTCCCTGCTCCAGTACTAGAATTGATTATTGACTGTTTCAAGTGGTAGTTAGGTTTTATTTATTATTATTGCACAGATTCAACACCTATCACGACTCCACCTCTCTCTAGGACAAATCCAAGGGTTGGGCGGACCGCCTGCCCAACTCTCGTCAGGACTCACTCGCTAACATTCTTGAAATAATCTTTCACGTCTCTAGATTAACATAAAAGTTCCCAATTCAACTAATAATTCTAACTTAATTTACAATTTAAAAGTGCAATATAGGATTACATTACTAAATATCCCAAATACATTCCATCTACACACTAGTACATGAAGATTGTACATGAAGATTATAATTTTCATGTACAAGCACATGAAGATTATCTACACTAGTTCACGCTTACTTGTTTCGGCCTCCACTCCTGTAAAGAAAACAAACTAATAGAATGAGCAAAAAATCCAGTGAGGTTCCCAAACAAGCAGTTAGGTAGATAAAGCACAGAAATGTTACAATTGACAATTATACACTTTGCACAACAATAAGCAAGTCATTCACGAAGCAATCATTCAATCATTGAAATGATACTACTCAATTGAAGCCATTCATTCGGTCATTCATTCATCATCCATTTCGCTTATCCCTCCAACATTTAAAAATATTTGAAAGTGAAAACTCCTTCAGTGTTCATTTTATTCAGTTATTCATTTCAATCATTGCATTGCATTCACTGGCTAGTACTCCATCCAATTTCGTGGTCATACTTGAGTATACCAAATACTGTCATAGGGTCACCAGCCACCCGATCGAGTCTGCTTCTGACTCGAGTCGACTGGCAACGAAGGGTAAGGGTCCAATTCAGTTAAAGGCTTACATTCATGCACAAATAACATTCAATCATTGAAAATGCACTTTCACTTTGGGTTAAGTGTAATAAAGTACACACTCACCCATTGAAAATCTATTTAACAATCATTAAAAAGTATTTGACATTCAAACAAACATTCCACATAGTTATTTAAAGCACAACATGCGAAGAACACTAACCAATCAATTGTAATCTTTCACTTCAACAGCAGTTTGTCCTCTTGAAATTTCTTGAGTCCTGTAGTCATACACTATATTAAAAGACTAGCAAACAAAGTCAAAATACAATGAAGAAATTGAGGGTTCAAAACTTCATTTAGAAAATACACTAGTTCACAAGTTTTATCCCCATATAACTAGTAAAAAATATAACATTTTCTTGTTCAAATTAAGGGGAAAACCTCGTGTGCATACTAAATCCATGTTTCAAGAGTCATTTGGAGCACACAAGCATCGATTATAGTCAAAAGTTTGAGGAAATTATGTCAAGACTTTCAAGGTGCAAAGTTGGAAATTGTCCAACTAGAAAATTATTTGATAAAACTCATTTCCTTTCATTTAAACCTCTTGTCTTGGCTCGAAACTAATGCACATGCAAAGAAATAGATTGTAACAAGTGTTTTGAGTAAAATCATATGCAAGAGGAAAACAAAAATGCCCTAAATTTATGCCTCAACCCTCACTTGACCAACAAGGAGAAAATCCAGCAATATGTCCCCAAATTTCTTTAAGTTAACCATCCAATTCAAATCCTAGTTTCATGGTAAATGAATCTCAATCAAGGCCACATATTATAGGGGACAAATAGTGCATACTTTAGGCCACAAAACTATCAACTTTGAACATATATATCAAGCTCCAAATCACTTACACCAAAGCTGAAATTTTTCATCTCAAAGCAGGAAATTGACCACTAAAGCTAGAAAAATCATATAACAAAGCTAGAAGTGCATGTTCAAGTTAGATATCTTCATATCCAAACTCATAAGTCCACATCAAAGCTGGAAACTCTCAAGTCAAGGCTGGAAAATATAAATCAAAGCTGGAAATTCGAATATAGAAGCTAGATAACCTCATAACAAAGCTAAAATTTTATATCCAACCTCATATCAAAACTAAACCATTCATATCAAGGCTGAACAATATACTTTAAAGCTGAAAATTGCAACCTACTAAGCAAAACCATGAATTCTTCTATGAAATCCATCCTAATCAAGTTATATGTTGCTTAAATGGCAAAATAAGAAAGAAAAAGAGAGGTTCTTAGTATAATACCTCAAAATCCCAAGATAAATTGTAAGATAAGAACTTTCTTCCTCAAATGATTCCACCAAAAGTTTCATTCCAAGATTAACTCAAGGTTTTATGGAGCAGATTAGGGTTGATCTTCGATTTTTTCACAAATTAAGCAATGAAATCAAGAGGATTTTTTGAAAGTTTTCTCTCTTCTCTCTCTCCCTTAAGTTCGGCCACAACGAAGAAGAAAGTGAAGGTTTTTGAGTCAATTTTGAAAGATAAACACAAGACTTCTCTTGGTCTAAGTCTTGGTCAAGACTTCATGAATGCACGACACTTGTCGAGCTTTGGTTTCATGTCTATCCCTTTGTCTCTCTTGTATTTCTCTTATAACCAATCTATCTTGTATTCTTCTAATACACTCTTAACACTTCTAATCACATAATTCCTCTAGTATCACATCCATTCTCGTCCACCAAATATAATGCGCACATCTCACTGGTCAGTTAAACTACCATAATACTCTACGAAACTTAGCATACATCAAGATTATAAAAGGGAAAAAAGAAAAATCTTAATTTAACCTTTAAAATCACAATCAAATTAAGACTAGTAAATAAGCAAGTAAAGTAAAATAAAAGGAAATATAAATTAATTTTTTTCAAAAATAGGAGAAAAATTTAAAAAAAATAAAATTTTTTTCTGGTCCTCACATGCATGGTATAAAGAAATTCCCTGGATCCTTCAATTTTGGTGGTAGCTTATTTTGTATGATGACACTGCACTTCTCCGTTAATGCTATTGCTTCATAATCCTCCAATTTTCTATTTCGGATCATGATTTCCTTGAGAAATTTTTCATAAGAAGGAATCTGAAAATAGCATCGGCAAAAAGGATATTAATATGCATTTGTTTAAAAATTTTAGCAAACTTCTCAAAATCCTTATCAAATTTATTTGGCTTGAACCTTTGAGGGAATGAAAATTTTACCGAACTTCTCAAGTTCCTAATATGATTATTTTATATGATTAAATAGTTGGCCATTATTTAATTATCGAAATATCTATTGCATCTAATCATCAAATCTATAATTATTTGATGGTTTTAGTATTTATGGCAAGTGATATACTTTGATTGTAGTAAAAATTTTCTAATATAGGTCACGAAAATATATAATCGAATCTAAATAAACAGAACCAATGTGTTTATTGGTTAGAACTGGCAACTTTTGTAATAATTAATGTTATCAATATGGGTAGCTTTTGTAATAATTAATGTTGTCAATATGTTAAATCCTAAAAGTTAGACTAGGGTTGTTTAATTGGCAAGAGTAATAATCACAAAATTTGCTGTGGTTATCGAGGGTAGCAAGGAGAGGTAGGTAGGTTCTCAAAATTTGTTGACAGCCATAACTAATTTATAAATAAATGATTTTATCCATGCATCAACGATTAGTTAATTAAACTAAAGTGGTGATTAGATTTTTGACTAGAGATTTATCTTTTATTGAATTATTTTTATTTAATTTTACATTATTATTTTTTGACTCCACTCACCATTGTACTCAAAAGTATATCTTTTTGGAGTAGGAATTTTGTTTTCGGTGGTTTCGACACCCATCAACTAGACAATTACGTAAATGATGAGGATTCAGGACATGAGAACACGCCAGTTTATATTGGTCCTCAAGAGGGTTTGGCAGGCGGCCGACAAAGTAGTGGCATTGCCGGGGCAACCAAAAGGGTTAAAGTTTTATCAATATTCAGGGTATGTTACTGTTGATCCAAAGACTGGTAAAGCTCTCTTCTACTATTTTGCGGAGTCCGAAAATCCTTCTAACAAGCCTCGTGTTTTATGGCTAAATGGAGGTACATTTACTGTTATTATTATCATTTTTGGTTGATCCTAGAAAGCATTCTCTATGGGCGTTTCAAGGAAACATGTTCTTAGTTTGGTGATGGCAGGACCAGACAGCTCTACTCTGGGAGCTGGATCAATGAACTAGCTTGGACCATTCCGAGTTAGAAACTGGCGTGTTCCTTTGCTCGTCCGAGGAACCCCACAAAAAATCTACCACAAATAGATTCTATCATATTAAAAGCAGATTTAGGAGGACAACCCAAATATCTAACAAGACCATAGGACGTAGTTGACATACAAATTCAGGGATCGGAACTTGCTTGGAAGTAACATAGAAACAAAATATACAGATAAAACTCAAAAACAGACGATTGTTTTTATTCATCTAATGGTACACTTTTGTTCGTAAAAGTGCATCTTTTACATGTAATTACAAGGATACAAATTAAAAAATAGACGGAATGGTACATTTTGTTGGTATAAGTGCACCTTATTTAACATACTAGTACAATAGTGGAAAGATGCTAGTACAATACAGCGGTACATCATCCATGCATAAACTGAAAACCACACCATAGACACTAGTAATGCTCAGCTGATCAATCGTAATGCTTGATTAATTCCTGTGCCAGAGGAGTTTCGTTTCACCTTTGGCCTCAACAACGAGTGCTTTATGGATAAATGTGGCGCCCTCATAATCCTGATTTTGGATGATAAGTGCGTAGTACTTGCCTCCCTCACATTTCCACGTGAATCCGCCAAGCACGGCGATGAAAAGCAGCTTGCCGTGGTGAAATTTTTCCACTACAAATTGTCCGATCTCGACCACGTGAGGGTCAGCCGGCGCCACTGGTTGTATTGAATTGATGTCGATCTGTAAATCCCAAACATTTTAACCAGTAAGAAAATCGCAAAACAATTGAGTTCCCAAAATCAATTAGAATGCTTTCAAATAAACATACAATTAGAAGACTAAATCCGATCAGTCAGTAAGTAAATACATCACTCAGAAGAAGCTTAATCAAACAATTCAAGAGACCGCCTACCCATATGTATGGAGACAACTAGAAATGTAAAATATTGCTTAAGATAATTCAAGATCGTTGAAATTACTTTAATTTGCAACTCCTCATACTTTTCCAAATACAAGTTGTTTATGAGTTGATTCTCAAAACCACACACAAACTTGAAAAAGAAGGAAATCTAGGTATGGCTAGGCAATCGAATCACTATTCACCTGATCAGTGACAGTAGCAGATTTGGCTTCAGCCATTTTTTCCCTTGGAGAACTAGCTAGCTAATTAATATGAACGAAAATGGATATTTGTAACTGGTTGTGACTGTCGAAAACTTGGTAGCTGAGTTTGGCACATCAAAATAACGAACCAGGCTCCTCGTATTTAATATTTATAGGCCTAAAAATGTGGTGACGTACCCCATAAGTAAATTCATTTGACTCCTCGTATTCATGGGACGCGTCTTTGGTAAGGTCAGTGTGAAAAGACACACCGCCCTTTGAAGAATTTTTTAATGGCACGCAATCTATATTTGGCTAGAAATGCCAGTTACTAAGTAAAGGCTTAATTAGGAAAAATTTTGCTAATGACCACACCTAAATTGCTATATAAATACGCATACACACTTATATTACACATCTCGAATTGCTATACTTTTACAAATAAACTATATTTTTTTCAAAAAACTAATACGAATTTCTTTTAACGAGTGTCCATTGAATACTCATTAGTCAAATTGAATTACAAATTAGAATGGTTAGGAAATAAAATGTAATTATCAAATGAAGGTAAGATGGTGAGAGATTACTTTATATGGCAATGCATTAGTGATTTTTAATCATGTGGTCAAATGATTATTATTTCCAGAACAGCTTGTCATCACAGAGGAACGAAAATGAGGTTACTAGAAACATAGATGAGAAAGCATACACGGAAGGGTGATTACCAATACTGTTGATCTTATCCAAGAATTCGAGGATATCTTGACTTTTAAAATCTTGATTCCCAGAAAGAACAGTAGTTAAGAGGTTGCTTCACCCAATGAAATTGATTTAGTATTGTGTTATTTTGATTTCGACATGGTTAGCTCCTCACGTTCCTCACGTTCTCTAATAAAAAAAACAAGTATCTGTTGTCAAGTTTGTGACTGGACTATTGTGATCAAGTTAGTGATTTAGTATCTGTTGTAAGTTTGTGACTGCAGGCAGTTAGTCAACGTCAATTGGATGGCAATAGTCCTCATAATTTTTAAGATAAAATTGACCTGGTATTGTAAATTTTTTAAGATAAATTTCTATAATACATTCTGACCTGGTGAAATTTTGCTCTCGTTATGTGGGGATGATTCTTTTGGGGCATCGTTTATTATGTTTTACGGGTCAAATATGTTTCACATGACGCAGTGATAAGGTTTTACACGTTTGATATGTTTGAGGGAATAAGTACATTCTGTACGGTTTTGCTCAGATCGATAAAATGCTATTTTGCTGGAAAAAAAAATGTCAACCGTCAAACATGCATTGTAGAAAAATGTACAGTAAGGGCAGGCAAGAAAGTTCAAAGCGTGACTGTAATTATTGTTGTTGCCAATTCTGCATTTTTGATAAAAAAAAAAAAGTGTTAAAGTGACTTTGTTCCACCTGTCTTTTGTATAAGGGAGTCTTTCCTTTAGCTGCCTATAAATATAATAAACCTGTGATGGAATCAGATGCATCAAATTAAGAGAGTTTTAGTGGGTTATTTTGGGCCTTGAATCATTAAATCTTTTTGTTTAATAAAATATTTTTGGGTTCTTTTGTGTTTCAAGTATTAGGTGCTTTGGATTTAAAAATGCTTGTCTAAAACATTTTTGTATTCTGTTATTCATAGTAAAATTTTGCTCTTACTCCACCCGTGAACGTAGGTCTATTTGACCGAATCATATAAATTTTATGTATTCCTGTTTTATTTATTTTTCTTTGTTATTTATCTTTTAGGATTGCCAAAAATCCTGTGACAGCCCCGCCTTCCTCTAAGGCGCACTAAAGGGGTTAGCGAATTGCCTGCCCAACTCTCGCCAGAACTACTAAGACGGTCATACACAAACCAAAACGTTCGGAATATAGATGTTAGCGCTCCTAAACGATTCAACAATCACAAAACTGAAAACGGAAATCGTCACTGAAAGTGAATAGTGACTGCCACGTCACCATCCAGTCGGTACCCAATCGAATACAGATAACGTGGTATCATTCTAAAGAATGAACATTCCAAACCAAATATAATACATGAACATGATTAAACTGTGTTATAAACATACGTTTGCAATTTACAAAGCAAAAGGGAAATATTTGGATCAGGGTACATTTAGAGTTTTCCAACTCCTGAAGAGCGATACAAAAAGTATTTATACTAGCTCAATTCAGTCTTCCAAAATCATGGTTTCCAAAAGTTGACCCTGTAAGGAAAACAAAGGTAATGGAGTGAGCTTACGCTCGTGAGGTACCGACAAGACACACCAGGATAAACATGATTAGGCAAGGAACACATAAGAAATTTCATCACGTAACCAAGTTAAAAGGATACGGTCGGCTCTCAATAGCCACTTTCCACTTGCCGTACTTGATCTCAAACCCGTCGACACTCCGTCAACGTTTGGAGTAAAGAACATGAAGTTAGATCCCACTTTACACCACATTCCTTCCACCGAACATTTCCCTTACCGGGCCCGAACACCTCACAGCAACAAAAAGGTAATACTCGAGTATACACAAGGTCGAGGAGATAACACTCCACTCGACTAACAGTCACTCATGGTTCGTTATCGAACCGACCAAACCCTTGCCGGCTTGACCCGAATAACGACCAATGAGGTAAGAGCTCAGATATCACAATAGAGTCGTTGGACACAACCCTCCAATCGACATTAAAGCATGCACAAGTACAGTTTTACAGTAATACAATAGTAGTCACACAAGTAAGAGAACAAGAGCGGTGAAGTACACTCTCGTCTCATTCAAGTCAACCAAGTTCACAGAATCAAGTATAAACAATCATTTAAGCATTAAACCATACAAGGTATACTCACCAATTGAAACAAGCAATTTCACAAGTTTTCGCCCAACGTAAGCCTCGGTTCACCGGCACGCCCTATAACAATCAAGAAAGCACAATTGAGACTCGAACACGAATCGAATACCCCTTAAATGAACTATTAAGGCAAAACCAAATATAGCTTGAAATGGAAAATACATAACATTTAGAGTTAAAAGTAGAAACAAACCCCAAAATCTTTCATTTCTATCCAACCTCAACCTAAACTCACAAGAATCCAATATCCTCAATATTTGGACAGCATTTCCCCTAAAATTTCAGATTTTTCATCCTACAAACAACCCTTGAAATTCATCCAAAGCAACCACAAGCACACAAACAATTCATAAGCCATTCAACACACTTCATTAGGGTCACAATACCCCTCAATCATAGCCAATTAGAAGCTCAACAACCAACCATAAGAAAGCCCTAATTAGTAACCCCAAATCTGAAATTTTCCGCACAAGCGGAAATTTTCCGCAAATAACCACAATTAACGCACAAAAGCTCTATTTTACACAATTTAGAGCTATCAATCCAAGGTTAACCATAACCATCATATGAAACCAGAAAAATTTCCAAAAAATCAGAAATTTAGCTAACTCCACTTTAATCCATGAAATCTTCCATAAAATCACCTAGTTAGCTACCATAAGTCACCAATTGACCATTATTAGGGACAAAGAGTGAGTTCCAAGCAAAATACCTTAACTCTTCAAGAAAAGTAGTAGTTTAGGGGTTTTTCTTCCAAAACAACTCCACCAAGATCTTTAAACTCCCTTAGCAAGTCACTTTTGTGGACTAATTCAAGGTTTAATCTGTTGGATTTCAAGATTTGTGCAAGAAATGGAAGAGATAGTTGAAGCTTTCTTTTCTTTTCTCTCAAGATGAGGTTCGGCCAAGAAGGAGATAAAATGAAGATGATTTGGGTCAAATTTGGTCTTTTAGTAAAGTTAAGAAAGTTAGACAAGTCTAACTTTGACTAAGTAAGTGATACTTGGCACTTTGTTGTTGCTTAAAGTTATTTTCTTGTCTCCCCATGGTTAATCCATCTAGGTAATCTCTAATTATCTCCTAACACCTAATATTTACATCCCTTTATGCAAAACTTAACCTAATCGGCCGAATTTCTCTCACTTAATGCACTAGCGGGTCCCACGTCCAACATACACTCCTAATTTCTCATGAACTAATTTATAATAGAAAAATGATTTTAAGACTATATTTACTAATATAAAGTTAATATAATGAAGAAAATATAAATGTGCACAGAAATAAAATAATGCCTAAAATAAAAAAAAAAATTTCTTTTTTTCATTTTTGTCTTTTCTTCCTTTTTTTTCTTTTTTTCCGGTTCTCACACTCTCTCCCCCTTAAAGAATTTCGTCCTCGAAATTTCTCACCTGGGTTACTAAACAGCTCAGGGTATCTCTTTTGCATCTCCTCCTCCACCTCCCAAGTGGCCTCTTCTATTCCATGATTCCTCCACAAAACCTTCACTAATGGGATTTGTTTATTTCTCAGTTCCTTAATCCTTCGATCGAGTAATCGCACATGTCTCTCTTCGTAGGTGAGTGCTTCATCTATCTCAATCTCCTTTGGTTGTACAATGTGGGTTGGATCAGGATAGTACTTTTTAAGCATTGAGACATGGAAGACGTCATGAATTCGGGATAAACTTGGCGGCAACTCGAGTCGATACGCTACTTTTCCAACCCTTTGGAGAATCTTGAAGGGTCCTACGAATCGTGGTTGAAGTTTCTTTCCTCTACCCGCGGTGACACTTCGTAAGGGTGTGATCTTAAGGAAAACACGATCTCCAATTTCAAACTCCAAATCTTTCCTTCGGTTATCCGCGTAGTTCTTTTGGCGACTTTGAGCTGTTTGGAGTCTCTGACGTATCAATTTAACCTTTTCTTGAGTATCCTCCATCCACGGAATGGCTGTTGGGTCCAAGACCTTCTTTTCCCCTACTTCATCCCAATATATGGGTGAACGACACTTCCTTCCGTAAAGCGCTTCGTATGATGCCATTTGGATCGACAAGTGGTAACTATTATTGTAGGCAAACTCCACCAAGGTCATGTGTTGGCCCCAACTACCCCCAAAGTCTAAGATGCAAGTCCTTAGCATATTCTCAAGGGTTTGAATGGTTCGTTCAGACTGTTCATCCATCTGGGGGTGATAAGTAGTACTAAGGCTGAGTTTAGTTCTTAAGGTCTCTTGAAACTTTTGCCAAAATCTTGACACGAAACGAGGATCTCGGTTGGAAACTATACTCACTGGAATTTCGTGTAATCTCACAATTTCATTCATATACAGTCGAGCCAACTTCTCTAGGGAATACTTCATATTCACAGGCAAGAAATGGGCTGATTTGGTTAACCGATCAACGATCACCCAAACAGCATCATATCCCTTTTGTGTCCTTGGCAATCCAGAAACAAAGTCCATTGTGATATTTTTCCACTTCCATTCAAGTATCTCAAGAGGTTGTAACAATCCAGAGAATTTTTGGCGTTCAGCCTTAACTTGCTGGCAGACTAAACAGGATTGTACATATTGAGCAATCTCCCTCTTTATTTTATCCCACCAATACAACCTTCGCAGATCTTGGTACATCTTGTTACTACTCGGGTGAATTGTATATTTCGATCGATAGGCTTCCTCCAAAATCTCCCTTTTCAATGTTTCATCCTTGGCCACTACTACTCGGTTCCTATATTTTAAAATCCCTTCAGGACTCAAATCGAAATCAGGTAATTCTCCCTTCTCTACCTTTTCCTTCCACTTTTGTACCATCGGATCCTTCTCTTGGGCTTCTTTAATTCGACCAAGAATAGTAGATGTTACCCGGATATTCCCAAAGGTCACCTTTTGACGTTCCAAATTAGGGTTCCACTCACTAACCACTCCCAACATCTTCCATTCTTTGACCATTAGCCCAGCTATTTGAGCCTTCCGACTTAAGGCATCAGCTACTACATTCGCTTTTCCCAGATGGTAGTTAATCTTACAGTCATAGTCCTCCAAAATTTTCATCCATCGTCGCTGCCATATGTTCAATTCTTTTTGAGAAAACAGATACTTAAGGCTTTTATGGTCAGAATAAACCTAAAAAATTACCCCGTACAAGTAGTGTCTCCACTTTTTCAGGGCAAAGACTACGGCCGCTAATTTCAAGTTATGAGTAGGGTAGTTTTGCTCGTGAGGTTTCAATTTCCTAGAGGCAAACGATATTACATTCTTATTCTGCATCAACACGCACCCCAATCCTTCCTTTAACGCATCAGTATAAACAGTGAAACTATTCTTTCCATTAGGCAAAGTGAGAATAGGGGCCACGGTTAGTTTTTTCTTCAATTCTTGAAAGCTACCTTCACACCTAGTGTCCCACAGAAAACGGCCATTTTTTTTGGTTAAATTGGTCAAAGGACCGGCAATCTTGGAAAAGTTCTGAATAAAATGCCTATAGTACCCAACCAATCCTAAAAAGCTACGCACTTCAATAGGAGTTTCAGGTCTCTTCCATTCAGTTACGGCCACTACTTTCGCCGGATCTACCGTAATACCCTTTTCGAAATCACATGCCCCAAGAAAGAAATTTTCTCCAGCCAGAATTCACATTTACTAAATTTAGCGTATAGCTGATGATCTCTTAGGGTTTGCAAGACTAGCTTCAAATGTTGCTCATGCTCCTCTTGGGTTTTTGAGTAGACCAGAATATCATCGATAAACACAACGATAAATCGGTCCAGGTAGGGTTTGAAAACTCGATGCATCAAATCCATAAAGACGGCAGGGGCATTGGTCAATCCAAAGGGCATAACGGAAAATTCACAATGCTCATATCTAGAATTGAAGGCAGTTTTTGGTACGTCCTCTTTCCGAATTAACAACTGATAAAAACCCTGTCGGAGATCTAATTTCGAAAAGACCACTGCTCTTTGCAACTGGTCAAACAATTCATCGATATGGGACAGTGGGTATTTATTCTTAATGATCATATTGTTTAATCCCCAATAATCTATACACAACCTCAAGGTCCCGTCTTTCTTTTTCACAAATAGCATAGGGGCTCCCCAAGGAGATCCACTCTCACGAATAAACCCTCGTTCCAAAAGGTCTTGCAACTGCAATTTCAACTCCTTAAACTCAGCAGGTGCCATCCGATATGGGGTTTTAGAGATAGGTGACGTCCCCGGTAACAAGTCTATCTTGAAATCTATCTCTCTCTCCGGTGGTAAGATTACTAATTCATCAGGGAATACATCCAGATATTCAATCACTACCGGCACATCTTCTACCTTCAACTTATCAGTGGGAGGATTTATAAGAAAAGCTAAGAACCCTTGCGCCCCTCTGAGTTTCCTAGTCCGAATACCCGAAATCAATGCAGATGAGGCTAGGCTACCCCTTACATCTAGCCTTAAAGTCGTCTCCCCCGGTATACGTAATTCTACTTACAGTCAAGTTGTGCATCATACCTAGCTAACCAGTCCATACCCAAAATAACATCGTACCCCTTAATAGTTAAGTTTATAAGATTTTCCAAAAGCTTTCTCTCTCCTACCCAAATTTCACAATCAACATACATCTTACTAGTGATCAAACGTTAGGTCCCCGTAGGGGTACTAACTTCCAGGTCATAAAGCAAGCTAACAGGTCTTATATCAATTTCGCACATAAAATCAGGGTTAACAAAGGAATGGGTGGCACCGGGGTCTATTAAAATCCTAACTAGACGATGAAAGACAGGGATCGTACCTTCCACGATCTTAGATGAATCAGGGACTTGACGTTGCTCAAGGGAATACACCCGAGCGGCCACCTTTGGTCTTGTCCCTTCCACCTTAGATTGCCCCGAGTTGGTCTTCGACGATTACGGAGTTACTCTTGCCTCTCGAGATAGAACTGGACAACTTGCAATTTGGTGCTCCGCACTCTCACAGCCCAAGCATTTCCCTTCCTTCTTCCAACAGTTATCCTCAGTATGGTTTGGTTTCCCACAGAATTCACAAGGACCCGAGAAACAGAAGCTGAGCTCCCCTGTGAGGCACTCCTCTGCTGGCCTCGCCCTACTGGACCACCCCTTGATGGGGTTCCCCTCGACATCCCCGAAAGTCTTGCTCCTCCGGCTCCCTTTCCAAACTTGGGAGGGTCACTTCTCTCACTTTGCCCTGAACTACTTCCAGAAAATCCCCGTTTTCTCACTTGGAAGTTTCTCACTTGAAGTCTTGCATTTTCAACTCGCAATGCCTTCTCAACTGCCTCACTAAAAGTATTAATCTGAGCTACCACCAGATCCTTTTGAATTTCCACATTTAGCCCCTGAATAAATCGCCGCACCCTTCTTTGCTCAGTTACAATAAGTTCAGGGGCGAACTTGGATAGTCTAGTAAACTGGTTCTCATACTCAGCCATCGATTAAGCTCCCTGGCGCAACCTAATGAATTCATCCTCCTTCTTTTCCTGAACTAGGGGCGAAAAATACTTAGCGTTAAACTCTCTCATGAAGTTTACTAAGGTCTTTGGTGTTTGCTCTCTTTCCCACTTTGTTCGAATCACGTTCCACAAAGACCGGGCGGCCCCTTCCAACTGAAAGACAGCAAAAGTAACCTGCCTCTCCTCCGAATAATGTAAGACTGCAAAGATATCTATCATCTTCTCCAACCACCGTTCGGCCACGTCTGGATCAGGCCCTCCCAGGAACTTTGGTGGGGGGAACTTTTGAAATCTTTCAAGGGCTTTGTCCTCACCCTCTATATGGTTGCCCGAGCTTCTGGGTTGATGAATAGGGGGTTGGCCCTGGTGTTCCACTATGTGGGACAACAAGTCAGTCATGAGCTGAATAGCAGCGGCTACCTGGGCATTAGGATCAATTCTAGGCTCAAGATTGGGTTCAGGCACAGTTTCCCAACTACCCCCCTCAGTCGCAGATTGCCTAATACCACGTCCTCGGCCCCGACCACTACAAGTACCTTCCATTGATATAATCCAATCTAGGGTCGAAGCACAGGTATAATATTAAAACGATATAGAACGTAAACAAATAACAAGAAATAAACACCAAACAAAACATTTACACATATTACACACAGATGTGTCAAACAAGTCATAGAGTAGCAGTCAGTCAAATATATACAAGAGTAATCCCATGAAAGTAGCGGGCATCCAAAAGTAAGATATACAAAGCTAGGTCAAAACACAAAAATAGCTAACTAGGAGCTTTCCCTAGCCATTTCCCACATGGGATCAAAATATAGCTCGAAGGAGCTCTAACCTAGTTCTCGACTGAGCCAACCGACTCCTCCCCAGAACTAGAACTAGGAGCACCTCCCTCGCCTGGAGCTCCGTCGCCTGGAACTCCCCCTGGCATATTAGCGCCAATCACTCCCTAGATTAGCGCCTTACACTCGTTAATAATACCACCGAACCGGTCCTAGTGAGACGGCCGTTGGCTACCTGTAACTGCTCTCTAAGAGCATTCGTCCGCTCCTGCTCTTTGACTACATCCCCTTGGAGCTCCCGAATGTGATCCGCCTGCATCCTCATAATGCTCCTCACACGCTGCAGCTCAGTGTGATCTCTGGCGGCGGCACGCCTGAGGCTCCTCCTCTCATCTAACGCGGCCACGACCACATGGTCAGCATAGGAATAATGCTGGCAACGACCACAGCGCCTAGTCCGACTGGCCGTGCTCCAGCGCCGAATCGGTCCTCCGGGCCTATCCTCGTAATCAACGACGCGAAAACGTCTCCGAGGCGGCCTACCTTAGCTCCCACTAGCTTCGTCCATGACCTATAAGGATATTCACAATTTACAACTTAGACAAAGTAATCATACTTAAATAGACCCTAACACAATCCCCAAAAGTTCTAAGAATCAGGTTTCAGGTTCGCCCAGATTATTTCTAACCTAAACTCTGATACCAACTGTGACAGCCCCACCTTCCCCTAAGGCGTACCAAAGTGGTTAGCGAACTGCCTGCCCAACTCTCGCCAGGACTACTAAGACGGTCATACACAAACCAAAACATTCGGAATATAGATGTTAGCGCTCCTAAACGATTCAACAATCACAAAACTGAAAACGAAAATAGTCACTGAAAGTGAATAGTGACTGCCACGTCACCATCCAGTCGGTACCCAATCGAATACAGATAACGTGGTATCATTCTAGAGAATGAACATTCCAAACCAAATATAATACATGAACATGATTAAACAGTGTTATACACATACGTTTGCAATTTACAAAGCAAAAGGGAAATATTTGGATCAGGGTACATTTAGAGTTTTTCAACTCCCGAGGAGCTATACAAAAAGTATTTATACTAGCTCAATTCAGTATTCCAAAATCATGGTTTCCAAAAGTTGACCCTGTAAGGAAAACAAAGGTAATGGAGTGAGCTTACGCTCGTGAGGTACCGACAAGACACACCAGGATAAACATGATTAGGCAAGGAACACATAAGAAATTTCATCACGTAACCAAGTTAAAAGGATACGGTCGGCTCTCAAGAGCCACTTTCCACTTGTCGTACTTGATCTCAAACTCGTCGACACTCCGTCAACGTTTGGAGTAAAGAACACGACCATAGATCCCACCTTACACCACATTCCTTCCACCGAACATTTCCCTTACCGGGCCCGAATACCTCACAGCAACAGAAAGGTAATACTCGAGTATACACAGGGTCGAGGAGATAACACTCCACTCGACTAACAGTCACTCATGGTTTGTTATCGAACCGACCAAGCCCTTGCCGGCTCGACCCGAATAACGACCAATGAGGTAAGAGCTCAGATATCACAATAGAGTCGTTGGACACAACCCTCCAATCGACATTAAAGCATGCACAAGTACAGTTTTACAGTAATACAGTAGTAGTCACACAAGTAAGAGAACAAGAGCGGTGAAGTACACTCTCGTCTCATTCAAGTCAACCAAGTTCACAGAATCAAGTATAAACAATCATTTAAGCATTAAACCATACAAGGTATACTCACCAATTGAAACAAGCAATTTCACAAGTTTTCGCCCAACGTAAGCCTCGGTTCACCGGCACGCCCTATAACAATCAAGAAAGCACAATTGAGACTCGGACACGAATCAAATACCTCTTAAATGAACTATTAAGGCAAAACCAAATATAGCTTGAAATGGAAAATACATAACATTTAGAGCTAAAAGTAGAAACAAACCCCAAAATCTTTCATTTCTATCCAACCTCAACCTAAACTCACAAGAATCCAACATCCTCATTATTTGGACAGCATTTCCCCTAAAATTTCAGATTTTCCATCCTACAAACAACCCTTGAAATTCATCCAAAGCAACCACAAGCACACAAACAATTCATAAGCCATTCAACACACTTCATTAGGGTCACAATACCCCTCAATCATAGCCAATTAGAAGCTCAACAACCAACCATAAGAAAGCCCTAATTAGTAACCCTAAATCTGAAATTTTCCGCACAAGCGGAAATTCTCCGCAAATAACCACAATTAACGCACAAAAGCTCCATTTTACACAATTTAGAGCTATCAATCCAAGGCTAACCATAACCATCATATGAAAACAAAAAAATTCTCAAAAAATCAGAAATTTGGCTAACTCCATTTTAATCCATGAAATCTTCCATAAAATCACTTAGTTAGCTACCATAAGTCACCAATTGACCATTATTAGGGACAAAGAGTGAGTTCCAAGCAAAATACCTTAACTCCTTAAGAAAGGTAGTAGCTTAGGGGTTTTGCTTCCAAAACAACTCCACCAAGATCTTCAAACTCCCTTAGCAAGTCACTTTTGTGGACTAATTCAAGGTTTAATCGGTTAGATTTCAAGATTTGTGCAAGAAATGGAAGAGATAGTTGAAGCTTTCTTTTCTTTCTCTCAAGATGAGGTTCGGCCAAGAAGGAGATAAAATGAAGATGATTTGGGTCAAATTTGGTCTTTTAGTAAAGTTAAGAAAGTTAGGCAAGTCTAACTTTGACTAAGTAAGTGACACTTGGCACTTTGTTGTTGTTTAAAGTTATTTTCTAGTCTCCCCATGGTTAATCCATTTAGGTAACCTCTAATTATCTCCTAACACCTAATATTTACATCGCTTTATGCAAAACTTAACCTAATCGGCCGAATTTCTCTCACTTAACGCACTAGCGAGTCCCACGTCCAACATACACTCCTAATTTCTCATGAACTAATTTATACTAGAAAAATAATTTCAAAACTATATTTACTGATATAAAGTTAATATAATGAAGAAAATATAAATGTGCACAGGAATAAAATAATGCCTAAAATAAAAAAAATATTTTTTTTCTTTTTTTTCCGGTTCTCACAAATCCTATCGTCAATTTTCTGGATCCAGACCTAACAAACTAATATCAGAACTTCTTCGGAAGGTTTAAATTTTGGGGCAACAATGATAATAACAAAGATTATTGTCAAAAAATTTGACAGGAATGCCAATTTTGGGATACGGCAGCTCAATATAGAGAGCATTTTGGTTCAAGACGGAGTTGATTTAGAAATACAAGAAATTCATAAAAAGTCAAAGAGTGTGACAGAAACAAATTTTGCTAAAATAGATAAGAAGGCAAGATCCAGTATTATCTTAAATCTCTTTGATGAGGTTTTGCGGGAGATAACCACTGAAATTTTGGTAAAGGACACGTGGGACAAGTTTAAGGCTTTGTACATGAAGAAAACAGTTAAAAATCGGTTTTATTTAAAACAAAGTTTGTATATGTTTCGCATGACTGAAAGTACATCTATACTCTCACATCTTGATAAATTTGATTCAATTATTATGAATTTTGAGAATATAGATTTGAAATTGATGTTGAAAATCAGGCCCTGCTACTTTTGTATTTCCTTTCCCACTTTTAAATATTTTTACAATACTATGATTTATGGAAAAGAAACAATTTCGTATCGTGAAATTAAATTTGCATTAAAATCTAAGGAGCAGACAAACAGGGATATTACTCAAGAAATTTGGGAATCAGGGGGAAAGTCTGGTTGTTAGGGGCAGAACCAATAAAAAACATTTGACAGTAGTAGATCTAAATTTAGATCTAAGCCCAGACACAAAAATTTAGAATGCAATTATTATCACAAAATGAGACACATTAATGCAAATTACTTTAAATTGAAAAGATTAAAGTAAAAGGGGAAACCTAGTGAAAAAAGTACCTAAACTGTCGAAACTTGTGCTGCAGTTGATGAGAATAAAATAAATATTTTGTGACTGATGATAGGACAAGGTTTAAAAATGAATGAATTTTAGATTCGGGGTGCTCTTATCACATATGTCCCAATGGGGATTTATTTTTCACTTATGAATCTTGTGATGGTGGAATTGTTTTCATGGGCAATAATGTCGTTTGTGATGTTGTTGGTAAGGGTACAGTTTGAATTAAGATACATAATGGTATTTTGAGAACGCTCACTAATATTAGACATGTTCTTGATTTGAAAAGAATCTCATTTCTTTGGACACTCTGGAGGTTCTTGGGTGCACATACACAACTAAAAATGACGTTATGAAGGTTTCTAAAGGCGCTCTTATTGTAATAAAAGTTTACAGATTTGGTAGTTTATATGTTTTGTAGGGATCTACTATCACGGGTTTGGTTATAGTTTCGTCATTATTATCTTTATCTGATTCTGACAATTTTTTATAGAACCATAAAATAGCATTTCTCCTAATTTAGCACAAGATTTGTCTCCTCACATCTCTGTAAAATCAAATCTAAAGTATGAATATAATGACCAAAAGATGAACCAAATACCAAAAAATCATCCATAAATATCTCCATAATTTTCTTAATGTAATTAGAAACTATGGCCACCGTGTAACGTTGAAACGTAGCAGGGATTTTACACAGATCAAATGGCATCTTTCTAAAGGCAAAGGTACCATAAGGGTAAGTAAATGTGGTATTCTCTTGATCCTCCGAAATTATAGATATTTG